CCTGTTTACTTTACCTCATTCTAAACTACAACTCATTTGATTTATATTAAGAAATTGCTGGCTACCTTGAAATGCACATACAATCCAAAGTTCTCTYACATTTTTCACCCGCCTATATGAGRAACAAATACAAGTTTTCCATTGTCTCTTTTTATTTAAAGGATTCTTCTGCTAATCTCCTCCTCCATTTAGAGCTTAGAGCAACAGATCTGGGTTTAAAAACCCAGTAATGAGAACTGTGTGCAGAGTATCCTGTTTACTGCTGTCTATGCCCACAGACGCACAGATGAGAGCTCTCCTCTGCCCACTTCAGGCTGCAAGGTGAAGATACTTGAATGCACAAACCAGAATTATTTTGCTGCTTATCTTAAGAATTTKACTGCCTCTTCTCGTCAGTTTTTAAATTGCTTTCTTATATCTCCAAAACCATTTCAGACAAAATAAGCCTAAAATCCTAATGGAATAAACGCAGTCAGGAGTAATTCTGTGTCGTTTGAACTCCTTGAGTGGTCAGTTACTAACACATATTTCCATTCTCAATGTCATTTATACATAACACAAGAGAGACTGTCTTACTATGTAACAGGTAATTGAAAAAATTAATATTCCAAAGTGATTTGAGCCAAYGAAAGAGTCCCTGTATTAGACATCAGACACTGAATTTCACTGCAAAAGAAAAGAGTATTGGCTATACTCATTATTACATCACTCCAAATTAACAACCTCACTGATGTTAAYAAGTCCTCATGTTTTGAACTGCTTWAAGTTTGCACWGACCCTAGTCATCTAAAGCAGAACATAAGCATATCTAACATATTCCAACACAAAGAAAAATGGCAATAAATAAAAACCCAAGATTGTAATCTGCTTTGTTAAACACATGCTTCACTCCAATTTTTATTGAAGACTTAATTTTAATCAAAAGCTATTATGAAGTAACACAACCAGCTCAGTAAAATTCAGTTGACTCTTCAAAATCAGTAGAATTWATAAGTCAAATCCAAAGTCATATTATCTTTTAACTGGATTTTGAAAGTGCTTTTTTTGACAGTAGTGTATTATCAAACTGTACATTAGATTAACAATTTACACAATCCCCAACAGTGACTGAGGGGAGAGGGAATTAAAAAATAATTGTTTCTTTGCCATACATAGGCTGCTATAGAACTACAGCACTAGTCATGTAAACCTGTAGTGATTAATTGCTTCATACTGTATAAGCAATGATTACTAAAACCTATATGTAACAAAAACATGAAGGTTTTCCTGACATACTTTCCCTGCAACGCTAAGAAATTAAAAAAAAAAAAAAAACAACCTAGCATTCCCCCCTGTAAACAGTTCTGACATACTATAACCACTCTGACAGCTGATCGCTTCCCTGGAATCCCCAGTGTTTCCCTGTTAAGCAACACTACACTTGCAAAACAGAGCTAAACTTAAACACATTTCTGGTTAAAATCTAGCAGGTCCTCAAAAACAGCAAATACATATCCCAAGCAGCAGTAATCAGCTTTTTATAAGTTTTCACTTACAAAGAGCAATTAAAAACAAAAAGTCCCACTTAATCCATCTTAAAAAGCATCACAGCAAATTTTAGCAAAAGCTAGGCCATGTCAGTATTCTGCAGGGTGGTGGGTTAGGGTGGGGAAAGAGGAGGCACCACTCCATGACTTGTTCTTTTCTACAAGCCTTTGGAATGTCTCTTATGGACACTCCCAACTCCTGCTGATAAGAAGAGGAGGTTTCTCTTTCCAGACATATTATTTTTCTTCAAGRAAACAGGTGAGACCTCCAGTATTTSCAATGGTCCTTGGCTATGGCCACTTTATCTCACCACAGGAGAATSCCAACATACTACAGTAAATCTGAACAAACCTACACAGAAAGTGGCCTACTGATACAATGGCAACAAACTCTGAAAGGAGGACCTGCATATAACCAATTCCTGCAGTCTGAAATTGGACACAGACCTAAGAATATAGAAGAGTGTCACTATGCATTGCATAACTCAGAATTCAAAGGAAGAGTTCAGCAGTTCYGGTTTACAATTTTCACAAGGGCAGCAAAAATAACAGGATTTTTGTTAATATGACACTACCATAGAAACTGGGGAATCCTGTCCCAGTTTACATACTTTCATCAGGAACACTGGAGCAGCTTTCCGGTTTTTAAGTTGCTCTGCAACTAAGGCAGAGACAGAAGGGCTTTTTCTTTTTATTCTGTTTTTTTTTTAATTCAGGTGAATGTTACACTGTGCAGAAGCAGGCAAGTGCAGTGCTAAGCTAGCTTAAAAGATAACATTTTTATCAGTAGCTTCACTCCTTTCCAGTCTTTACAAAAAAGTCTTTTTAASACACTAAAAGTAACATACAAGAATCACTTAAAGATTCCTTAATTTTCAGTTTCAGACTGCAGAAAGCACTTATTTTTGTTTATCAATTTATCCATTCCCCCACCTAGCCTTTACACTTCATTATCTCAATTCTAAAATGAACTTGGGTTTTTTTTTTTGTGGGAGATTTAGGTTGTAGGGGCTTCTTTAAGCTAACAGTGAGTGCTTTAAAAGCATAAAGAGTACCCATTTCCGATTAATAGACATGGCTTAGGTCATGATTTTTAGATTATGGCACCTTAGTTTTCAACTCTAATGTTTTAATGGCATAGGAAGCACGAAGAAACTGAATGTGATACCAACTCCCTGCAGTAGATCCTTACTCCTGATTCTTGTGTTCAAAATCCAGAAGGAATCTYTTTCCCCACACACATTCTTTCATGAGAAACAACAGGGCAGTGGGTAGAAATTCCAACTTATCAAAATTTCCGACTTCATACTGAAGGATAAATAGGAAAATGAAAAGCTGKAAATTAACTAGAAAACATTTCTCCTTCTTCCAAGGGTGCCACAGACTCAGGAAAAGGGGCTGGCTCTGAACTCCATCATTATTCCTGTGATTTAAGAAGCATTTACAGGCAAGTGATTATTTAAACTTCATTGCAAACCCTTAAAAAAAACATACTGGCTAATTTACAGTGTTTTAGTCACTGATGTTTAGCAACAAATGTAAACTATTTTACAAACAAAAATGATCCATACTTTTTTTGGCAACAAAGGGTTCCATATCAAGAGAATAAATCAGTCTCAAAGCTCTCAAGCTTTCAAGCATAACCATGGATTTAAGGGAATTATTCTACACTATTGYTGGGAAAAGCATACTGACAGTACTAAGTTGCTCAAGCTAGAAGCACTTACAGGACTAGGCCTTTAAAAYAGAGCTCAAAATACACATGAAAGAGGTGACAAAGGGATTCTAAACCCACAAGTTCAGAAGCAACATCAACCAAAAGTATTTCTAGTTGCCCCATTTGAAAGCATCTTTGTTATGAATCCAGGTGAATTGTGCTTCTACAGCTGTAAAATCATTCTCGGATGAAAAACCTTCAGATTTTTTCTGTAAGGAAACTTCTTTAATCTTTATTAGTATTAAAATCGACCAGAAATAGTAATTTAGTTTATACCTTGACCAACATGGACTCAGATAAGGTAGCATAGAAAATTCTAAAAAAATTAACAATCAATCCATGTTAGTAAAGCACTATCACAGCCAACAAGTCCCTTTGTCTCTGTATTGCAGAGAGATTAAACCAGAATACCAGTTTTAAGAGTAGACATTTATTATTATGAAGACCATGTCTTTCTTGTGCATGACCATATATAACTCAGCTACCTGCAGTCAGTGACTGCAGCTCTAGTAGCCAGTATTATTAAACTTGCATAACTTGAGTTTTTTCAATGCACAACATCCTGGTGACTTTTTATATGACACARCTGCCCTGTGAAAATACAACTGAAATATGAATACCTCTTTTTACAGTTTCACTCAAACATYGAAGAGCTCCCATTAAAATGATTAGATGGTGTTAAGTCCTTTTCTCCCTTTGATGTACAGTTTAAACATTTATAGATCTGGAASAGAGCTAGATCATCCTAGTTAAACTGGGATGAGAATTGGTATCGTTCCAAAAATAAGACAACTACAAATAAAGTCAAGTAAATAAACACACCRAGTTGTAACATTTTGCAACAACATAAACAAAGATAAACGACACAAACAGGTCTTTTGAGGTCTTCAATTCACAGAGTCTGCTCAAACTCGCATCACAGGGACCCCAAGAGATGAGCAGACACTTATAACTTGAGCAGTGACCGAAACCACCCTGCCGTGCCCCCGTCCGTGAGCCGAGGCACTGTGAGGGGCGACAGCAGCGCACCGGGGAGGGGACACGGCTCCTGACCTCCTGCCTCCCCAGTTCACCAGAGGAAGGTGAACTTAAACTAACAATGTCCTTCTCCTCTGCTTTCACCCAGCACATAAGCAAGCCAGGACCGGCCGTGGAACTGCTTCACTGACTCCGGGCCACTAAAGCCTCTCGCAATCCACTCAGCGTTGACACAGGTCACGACTCAGCCCTCAGTCACCCTCGCAAAGGCCGTAGACAGGAATAAACAAGGTTATTCGCCTGACACCGGACACCGGCGACACTCCCCCTCCCTCTCCCCCTGCCCCATAGCGACACGGGCTCACCACAGCCCCGACCCTCCCTCCCCTCGCCAGGTGCGGGCCCAGAGGCCCTCAGCCCTGTCCAGACGCGGGCCAGAGTGGGAGACGGCAGGGAAACACGGCCATTCTCCGAGCACCATGTGGGCCATCGGGAAGGGAGAAGCAACAGCCGCGGCCCCCCGCCAGTAGAGCCCGAGGGGTGAGACGGGTTAAAGTGCCGGAAAAGAGAGACCGAGACCCGACTAGAGCTCCCTTCGCCATTTTAGCCCCCACGCCCATTCCCCTCCTCCCCGCCCCTCGGTGACAGGGGCAGCTCGCACCCACCCCCCTGGCTGCCCACGGCCGAGCGGCGGCGAGCAGCGAGGAGGGCAGCCGTGTGTCTGCCGGGCCAGACCGCAAACCGAAGCGGCTGCGGCACAGCCTGTTTTGTGCCCTTACCGTGGCTCGCAGCCTCACAGCTGCTGCCGCCTCCTTCTCCTTCCTCCCACCTTTCTCTTCTTCTTCTTCTTCTTCGCTTCCTCGCCGCCGCCGCGGCTCCTCACCCCTCCGCGCCGCGCTCCGCCGCCGCCGCCGCGCAGAATGATGCCATCTCACAGCGGCATCGGCGGCTCCCGCACGACAGCCCTCCTCCCGCCGCCGCCCCTCCCGGTGCTGCTCCTGCTGCTGCCGCCGCTCCCGCTGCCGCCGCTCCCGCCGGGCGCCCCCGACGGCCGAGCCAGCCTCGTGCTCGCACTCCGGGCACGGGCAGCACGAACTTGTGGATCTGGAGCCGGAGCCGCCGCCGCCCGGGCGGGAGGGCCCAGTCGGGACCGAGCAGTGCGCAGCGGCGGTGGGAGGGAAGAGGCGAGCCTGAACCGAGGCTCTTCAAAGGGGACAGGGCTTATTCCTAGTGCCTGCCCCGGGCTGAACCAAGTCGGGCGCCGCGGCGGGGAGAAGAGCGCAAAGCACGGAATCGACTTCGGGGAAGGCGGGGCCGGGCTGCAAACCTGGGGCACCGTCCGCGGGACAGAGCCTGCTGGGGCAGGATAAGGAGGGCTCCTGCGAGYCGCTGTCCCCCGACAAGGCTCCTCTGCGGGGCCGAGAGCCAGCACACCCCGGTGCGGTGCGAGCGATAAAGGCGGGGGGTGTCTCCTCCACCCGCCTCCCGCCCTCCCCGGCCGCGCAGGCAGGGCGGGCTCCTGCGCCCCGCCGGGATCCGCCGCTGCCGCCGTGACAGGAGCCCCTTCCCGCCGTCCCTCCGGCTGCTCCCGGTCCTCCACCGCCGCACTTTTTCTCCCTGTTTGAGTTACAGTCTCCCGTTCTCGGGTGGACGGATGTAGGCGGGGGAGAGCCAGCTGCTCACAGCCCTCGGCAGCGGCGCRGAGCTGCCCGGCTGCCCCGCTGCAGAGCGAGACACCGCCCGCCCCGGCGGCACCTCCGACAGCCCCGGCATGGGCACGGGGAGCGTTCCCCTGGCAGCAACCACAGCCCTTCCCTAAGGATTTACAGACCTAAAAGTACTTATTATATGCACAAATATGCGAGGCTGAAGTTGTGCCTTACATTGAAGACTAATGAAGCTTTGTCTTCGTATCGTACAACATAATGCTGTGGAGGCAGCGATAGCATGAACTTTCGGGCATAAACAAGGCCTTTGAGTGGTTGTCCCAGAAAGTCCAGCACTACTGTTAATTGAAAGGAACAAAAGCTTACAGTATGAGACCCTGAAGCAACTTTCAGCAACGTCTGGTATTTCATTATTCTTAAAAAACAACATGGGGGCCAACAATCTGATTTGGACATTTAAATTCCTTCAGGAAATAAAAGGAACGCTGTCAAAAGTACTACTTTCCAACCTAATCATTCTTCCTASAAAATCTCCAGGAAAACAAAGTTTCCAAAGAAAGTTCAGGGAAAAAAAAATATGTACAGTTCAGCTTTAAAAGTATGTTAGAGTATTCTAGAAGAAAAAAATACCGGTCTTCTCTTGACTGGTAATACTAGTACAAGTGACTGAAAGCTGTCATGGTTTGTGCTTTTGCACACAGCAAATGTAACAGAATATGTGAGCTCTACTCTTACAAAATTTGGCTTGGGCAGTAAGACTAGATGTTTGCAGTTAGCAACCTAATTAATCCATCTGATTTACAGAATTCAGTGTGTACTATTTTCTCTACAACAACTAAAGCTTACATTTAAAAAAAAATTAAAGTCCCTCTTTAGTTCTGAGATTGTCCAAAATTAGGTACTTGCTTACTCCAAGGAACTACTTTTACAATATTTTGCTAGCACTTCCAGAGTCTGGTACTAAGCGCTGTCTTGCTTTCCTGGCTGTTTTCCTGGTGTAAAGCAATCTAATTCTGTAGCATTTATTTCCAGTTGCAAAGGGTGGTTAAAGGTGTAAATGGCAATATTCTATCTCTGGCCTTTGCATAAGATATTAATTTATCTTCTAGTAGGCTTTTTCTCGTTACATTATCAGTAATCTGACACCAATACTTATGGAAGGTATTACCATTACTTAGTATATCTGTAAAATTTCTAAGTACTTCTTTCTTGCCTCGTAAAGTATGAAAAGTGAGTAGTCACTTAAAACAATACTCTGTACAGGAGTTATGGTCTTCTCTAGCTTGCCTTCTCCYGGTTTCACAACAAATTTTGTCATACATTCGTCACACTCTGGGGAACAGCAACATTCCAAGTATTCTTCCTGCTTAAAAGACATTTGATACACTAATGAATGTAAAATGTCACAAGTTTGTTAATGTCACGATTTTGGTTTTAAATGTCTTATAAAACCTCGAGATTTTTTATATTTCTGACTACTTTTAGAGCAGTAGGTAATTGAAACATAGAATCATAGAATRGTTTAGATTGAAAAGGACCTTCAGGTTGATCCAGTTCATCCAATCCCCCAGCCATGAGCCCAGACACTTCCAAGAACCAGGTTCTACAGAATACTCGATCCCAGCTGATCTCAAACACTTCCAGGAGTGGCGCATCCACAATTTCTCTGGGCAACCTATTCAAGTGTCTCACCACCCTCACAGTAAAGAATTTCTTCCTATTATCTAATCTAAASTTGCCCCTCTTCAGCTTAAAGCCATTCCCTACTATGCTATCTCTACATCTACATGGTACAAAGTCCCTCTCTGGTTTTTGTAGGCCCCTTAGGTACTGGAAGGTGCTGTAAGGTCTCCCAGGAGCCTTCTCCAGGCTGAAAAATGACAACTCTCTCAGCCTGTCTTCATAGGAGAGCTCCCTCATGTTCCAGCCCCCTGATGGTGTTAAATACCTTATGGTTAAAAGCCATACATTGAAAATTTGCTGAAAACATTTAAATTATGCTTAGGAGTTGTATACTTTTATGTGAGAAAGTGCAAAAACAGTTGTGTTCATTTTGCAGATAAAYTTTTCTTGTTTGTTTTCTAATGTGTTTTGGCCAGAAAAGATTGCAGACTCTTATCATACAGTGCTGAAGGCTAGCAGAAATTAATGCAGGTCTGGTGTTGTTATTGCCTTAGAGTTTTGCTCTTTATAGGGTGAAATAAAGAGTGTTTATTTAYCCCTTAGTTATCCCTTTAGAAWGCTAACCTCAGGTAAGGTCTGATAAAGCCACTAAACTTACCAAATCAAATCAATCAAAGTTGGAGCTTTGCAAGAGGTCTGCATGAAGGGTTTTATAAAATAACAGTACCTTCTATGCACAACATTCCTGAGATAGTAGTTTATGATACTAGTGAAAGATTTTAACAGCATCTCCTTGTGTGTATTTCTGACATTTTCTTTTCCTTTTTTCTTTACAAAGGAGAGTTTTGGAGAACTTGGATTCAGAATAGATACCTATAAAAGAGACTCCAGAATATACTGCGTTTATCCTCTAATTTGAATAGACCTTCTTTGGCGTGCTTAAACAATGTACATGGATTTTAGATAAGCATGGATTTTAGGWTGAGCTATTGCAAAATCTAGGTTTTAAAAGACTAGACCATCCACTGGCTGGAGTTGTATCTTACCTTTTCAGTGAATATTTCTCTTTGTAACTACACACACAGGAGTAGCAAAGAGCTCTGCTAGCTTTTAATTGGCAAGTCTAAGTGAGTGACAGTAGTTTTGCTTAATTTATACTTCTGGGGAGCTCTTGTAGGCCTCAATAGGAAGTAAACCAGTACAATTGCAAATAAATGGCTTAAAATTACTGTACAATACCATCTATTTRTGTTTCTGTTTGTCTTTGATTTCTCTAACATCTTACAAAAGCCTAATGTTAAACTATAATTCCTGAATGCTGCAGAATACTTAAAAACTCTGTAGAAAAGTGGAAGTAAATTTTAATAATTGAACTTCCTTAACAGTAAATCAGTAGCAAAAGATGAGGCTGAAACCAAATCTTTTTGCCATTATAGACTCCAGTGCAAGCTGATTTCACCTGAGCAAAGGCATGCAAAAATAGTCTATGTGTGGTTTCTGTTTGAAATGAGCCAAGTTTTGTATTACAAGTCTTGCACACAAGTGGTTAGGTTCATTGTTTTTTCAGCCCTAATCTTCCAAATGTGAAAAAAGTAATAAAATTTTTTAAAAGGCAGTATCTAATSAGAGTGGAGGGAAGATCTCCCTGGTAATTGTTGTTATTCTTTTTACATGGAGATTTATTATTACAAAACTCATGCAGAGTAAGAAAAATTTTGGACAAGTTTCTTTGGGCCGTATTCAAAAAAGCATTTAGGTATCTGAATGGTGGTTTAGATAAAACTTAAATTTTACCTTCAGGAGCACAAGCCGCAAAACCCTGTAGATGTAGTCACCGAAGTCTGCTGGTGGATGTACTCAGTGTCCATAGGCATTGGCAACAGGCACCTGATGTCTTCATTGCAGTAAAAGGATTACTACTTGGCTTATGCCTGGTTTGTTTGGGACCAGGTGGTGAGTAATAAGTCACCTAAACTCCATGGAAGGGTGAATCAGGGAAGCATGATWAAGGAAGTATCAGGTATAGAAAGGTTCTGAAATCAGTACAAACTACAGAAGTTACAGCAATGACAGAAGCAGGGAAAAACATGGTAGTAGTGTGCACYAGGCATTACAGTGTCATGAAAGGAGAACTTGGGACCTGAAAAAACATGTGTTCTGTGCCCTCCTAAACTCAAATCAATCTCTCTTTTCAAGACAGACTGTGACCCATGAGTGCTGTCTGATTTGGGACCAGGATTATCCTTCCTATRCCAGCCCTATGGAGTCACTTGGAGCTCTACAAAAGCACAGTGAAGAAGTAATGCAGCAGAGTAATGCTGGAAAACTCAGAAACTAGGGAACATAAGCTAGAATAACTGGAAACTTATAGTTTCTAGTCCTGCTTCCCAGCAGTGTTCAGACATTTTAATTGATGACTTTTCAATGCATAATATTTGCTCCTGTTCCAGGACAATAAACATTCCCAATAACAACTGAATGTCTGCACTTTTGGCATTTACTCATGTCCTCTCATATTCCTTCCTCAGATTCCATGGTTGTTGTGTTCTGAAA